GGCGGAGCGGGCGCGGGCTGCGGGGCTGCGGAGCCCCGGAGCTCGGACAGGCCTCGCAGGCTGCCCGGAGGAGGGGGCGTTGCCGGCAAGGCCTGGCGCTGGCCTGGGTCCCCGGTGCGGGCGGCAGTGCGGCTGCTCTGCCAACCCCTGCAGCGGGATGTGACCGGCCCGGCGAGCCAGCCGCCACCTTCTGCAGAGCTGGCCCCGCTCGCTCCGCCGCAGCCCGGCCAGGACTAGCGGGCCCGCCCCGCCCCGCCGGGGTTCTCGCCGCCGTCATCCTCCCTCGCTACCCCCCTGTTCTCTCGGGGCTCCTCCCACGACCCTCCCAATGGCGGCCTCCCGGGCCCCCAATCCTTCACTCTCCCGGCTCAATCCGAGAAGCCGGCGGGAGCGTGGGGAGGGGCGCAGGTGCCAGGGTCTTCAGCACCTGGGAGAGCCCCACCCTCCCCGGATGGAATTAGCCAAGTTGGGAGGAGAAATTCCACCTCTAGTGGAAGAGGGGGATAAGAGAGGAGGGAACAGAGTGATCGAGATAATTGTTTTAACAATCCCTTACGTGTAAGAGTGCGTCAGCTTTTAAAAGTCCGTTCCTCATTCACGATCGGACTTTGATTCCGTTCAGTCTCTCATTCATTCTTTCAATTATTCAGCAAATATTTATTGCGTGTCTCCTCTGTGTCTGGAGTCCTGGTGGCACAGTGGTTCGGAGCTACTTGGTTGCTAACCAAAAAAGGTCGGCAGTTCGAATCCACCAGCCGCCCCTTGGAAGCCCTATGGGGCAGTTCTACTCTGTCCTATAAGGTCGCCACGAGTCGGAATCGACTCCATGGCTACGGGTCCTGTGTATCTGGCATTATGTTAAGCGCTGGAGCGATTATTAAAAGTACCGGGTTTCTAGGGGGAAAACTGAAGATCAAAGACCTATGGTTCTTGTTTTAGCTCTGCTACTTCTTGGGTGGCTTTGGAGAAATTGGTTACCCTGCGCCCCAGGTTTCCCACCTGTGTATCAGAGCGTATGGAACCTCACAGGGCTGTTGTGAGGATTAAATGAGACAATGTTGGGAAAAGATCTTTATAAGTTTTACAACACTATGTGAATAAGTGATTATTATTCATTTGCACTGATTTGTTAGTTACTTCATTCATTCAATAAACATTTAATCCTTAAATTATTTCATGCTTTGGCTGAGCATGGATCTGGGGTGAGGGGACCTGAGTGTGAGTTCCAATTCTGCCAGCTGTGTGATCTTAAGCAGCCAGTTCAAATTCTCTGAGCCTGTTTCATCATCTGAATAATGAGGGTATCAATATCTACTTCTTAATGTTGATGTATCCAATGAGATACTGTATGTGAAAAGTGCCTTTTGCTCAGTGTAAATAAGTGTTGGTTAATGTTGTATTTAGGGCAGATACCTCGGCTTCTAATTCTCATTGCAGTATTTCTATTTTTGTACAATTTTTCCCCCTTGTAATATCCAGTTCAGTGCCTGTACACCTAGGGCTCTGAGCTTCTGTTGCTTTCCTTTCTGAGAGAAGAGAGTGAAATGCGGCAAGTGGGGCAGGGCATGTGTGTGTACTGAGCATGTGATCAAGCCATGGCCCAGGCCTCTGATCTCTGCTGACCCTGAGGACCCTGATCTCTGGCCTCCTGAGGCACCCTGGTACCAGCATGCTCTTGCCCAGGGATTCTCGTTGTCCTGGCCTGGGCCTGGGTGTGTTATCCTGCATGTCCAGGCTCCAGGTCCCTCAGAGAAGGGGGCATTGTGCCTTGAAAGTCAAGAGTAGTGAGCCTTGGGCCTTCCTCTTCAGGGGGCCAAAGCAGTGGCTGGGGAGTCAGGGTACACAAAGAGGAACCCAGGGACTTCACTAGGGCAGCCAGAGGGCTGAGGTTTTAGTGACCAGGAAAGGGTGCAGGTGGAGGTGCAGGGGGTGGTGCTCAGAGAGGGCGGGGTACTTGGGTTAATCATCACTGTGGCTCAGATAAGGCCCTGCCAGCTGGAAGCAGAGTTGTGTCACTGAAGAGTCAGGCAGGACAGTGCGGCCACAGCGTGGAACCATGTCGGGCACGAAATGATTTCAACATGTGATTGAGACTCTGGAACCTGGCAAATGGGAGGTGAGACCACTTTTTCATGTTAGCCTTCTGCCCTGATTCCTAGAATCATTTTTCATCTGGAAATCCTTCCACCCCTGGGTTTGTGCACCCCCCTCCTTTCCCATCTTCTTTCTCCATCATCTTTTCCTCAATAGGCTGAGTACCAAGTGTAGGCTAAGTCCTTGGTGTGTGTGTGTGTGTGTGTGTGTGGTGGGAGTCCAAACATGGTGCCTGTTGCCACTCCCTCCTCCAGTTCATAGGCATGAGTGAGGCTTTGGCTTCCTGCCCACATCATGTCTCCCCTTCCCTTCTAGTTGTTTGGGTATGAGGCAGCCCTGCCAATCACAGAGAAGTCAAACCCACTGACCCGGGATCTGGACAAAGCAGATGCCCAGAAAATTGTTCAACTGCTGGGCCATGTGATGCTGAAATCTTCCAAGAGGAGGGGCAAATCATGCCCATGTACCAGGTGACCCAGACATCATTCCCTGAACACTGCAAACAAAGATGTCAACCCCAATCCCTGCTCTCTCAGACCATGGCACCTGGTTTTGGAAAGCCTGAGAGCCCTCCCCAAATCCACTGTCCTCCTCTTCTTGACTTCTAATTCCTGCCTCTTCTCTACAGCGACTCTACAGCGAATCAATTCTGACCACCATGGTACAAGTGGCTGGGAAAGTTCAGGAAGTGCTGAAGGTACTAACCCTCCATTTGCTCCCTGCCTAAACTTTTCTTTTTCCCTCTACCTTTCTCTTTTCTTAGTCTCTATTTCTCACTTGTGTAAATCTCAGTCCCCCTTTCTCTCTTGTCACTTTATTGATAATAATTATAATAATAAAAAGAACGAACAAACCTGTCTTGGAAGAAGTACAACCAGAATGCTCCTTAGAAGCAAGGATGACAAGACTATGTCTCACATACTTTGGACATGTTATTAGGAGGGACCAGTCCCTAGAGAAGAACATCATGCTTGGTAGAGTAGAGGGTCAGCGAAAAAGAGGAAGCCCCTCAACGAGATGGATTGCCACAGTGGCTGCAACAATGGGCTCAAGCATAACAACGATTGTGAGGATGGCAGCGGACAGGACAGTGTTTTGTTCTGTTGTACATAGGGTCGCTATGAGTCAGAACTGACTTCAGGGCATTTAACAACAACAACAACATCTGCATAATGCTTTAGAGTTTACAATGCACTTTCACACCCATGACCCTCACAACAACCTGTGAAAACAAAGACTTGGAATAGCCACAGTAATTTGCCCAGATACACCCAGTGAAGAATTGCTGGGTGACACTGCTTTTAATGTTTATTTTTATTTAGATGGAAAGATGTTTTCAGTCCTTTCTGGAATAAGTAAGGGTTTGAATAAACAGATAAGTCAGAGATGGAAGTCAGACTAAAGTTTGTTTTCTCATATCCAATGTTCGTTTTGCTACACAACTCTGCTTAGTGTTCACTTTTAGCCGTTCGCTTTTGCTGTGAACGGAGGGATAAGGAGTCTCTCTGACTCCTGTTCTGTTACTGAGAAGGAAAGGAAGGTGCTTCCCCCAGCCTGAGCTGAGCCCTGGCAACCTTGACATTTTTCCTTCCTCAGGAGCCTGAGGGGGGTCTAGTGGTACTGAGTGGAAGAGGCACGTCTGGCCGGATGGCATTCCTCATGTCCGTGAGTACTCAGACTCCCAGTTTCCCTTTCTTCCCATTCTCAAGGTGGCCCTCAGGACCATAAAGCTCATCATCACTAAGCTCCTAGGTGGACCTCTCACTAGACCTCTCACCATGGGGTCCCCTTTCTTCTGAGCACATCTGAGCCCTACCAGTCTATTGCCAATGTCTCTACATCCCGCTGGATTAATCATCTCAAAATCATGGCTGTAAATATCAGATTCCAAGCAGTGCTGGGTTAAGCATGAGTCTAAGAGAATTACACAGCCTCTGCCATCTAGGAGTTAAAAATCCAAGACAATCTGTTCTTTCACTGTCGTTACCTCTTCATATTCTCTCCTTCCCGACAGGTCTCCTTTAACCAGTTGATGAAAGGTCTAAGACAGAAACCTCTTTACACCTACCTCATTGCAGGGGATGACAGGTAAGACAAGTTGCCATGTGAATATTTTATTTGGCCTGAATAGTTCTTTTTGGAAATTGAATTTGAATGTCTTTAGACAGAGATTGTGTCCAGTTTGCCTTGGTCCCCACCATTCATTCCTACCACCTTACACTTGGCCCACTTCACATACTTATGCTGCCTGACTGGTGGCCCTTATAGCTATTTCAGTTTTTTAGTCCTCCAGAGCATCTACACAGTGTCCAGCAAACAGTGAGTGCTCAGTCAGTGATAGATTTCCCTTCATTCCCTTCTCTCAATACAACCTGTCCTAATAAACCATAGGCTTCTGCTCTCCAGCCACTGCCACTGCCCTCGAGTCTGTTCTCTTAGGTCTGTGGTGGCCTCTAGGGAGGGAACGGAAGTTAGTGCCTTGCACCGGATTGAGGAGCTGAAGAAGGTCTGTGCTTTCCACTGGCTCTCAACCAGAGACTTCTGTCTGCTCCTCCACAAGGGAACATAAAAGCCCTAATAGTTCAGTGAAAGTCTGTCCCCTCCTCTGGTCCTAGTCCTCATATCCCCACACAGGTGTGCACCCTAGAGCCCTCCTCAGTGGCACTACCTCATCCATCCTCCTCTCCTAGGTGGCTGCTGGGAAGAAGAGAGTGATCGTCATTGGCATTTCTGTGGGACTGTCTGTGAGTGTGAAGACAAGTTGAGTGTATCTATTTTACAGGTAGGAAAGGGGTGGGAATGGAATAGCATGGAAGATAGATTGATGAGGTGGGTGCCAAAAGCAGGAAACATTTGCACAAGGTATTTTGATTTTAGTCTAAATAATTTGGACCCAGTTGTGTGGATGTGGGAAGAGAAGGAATCCTATCACAGAATAACTGTGTATCAATCCATTCAACAACCCAAATAGATGGACCAGTCCAGGGGTCAGTAAGCTAGGCTGGCACCAATCTGACAAGCTTCCTGTTCTGCAAATAAAGTTTTATTGGAACATAAGCACGCCCATTTATTAGCATATTGTCTATGGCCGCTTTCACTACAGAGATCATAGGGTCCACATAGCCTGAAATATTTACCCCCTTGCCCTTTACAAAAAAAGCGGATCCCTTGATACTTAAAGTGTGGTGCCTGCACCAGCAGTATCAGCAACACCGTGAGACTTGCGAGACATGCAGAATCTTATACCCTACACCAGACCTACGGAGTTTGAGTCTGTATTTTAACCAGAGTTCCAGGTAGTTTGCTTGATATGTATTAGACTCAATGACTCCAAGTTTCCTCTCAACTCTGTAGCTCTCTGAGTCTATGAATTCACTGAGCAGAAACTAGATTGCACAGTGCTAGATGTGGAAGGAGGCACACAAGGAGAACAGGACATTGACTTCAAGGAGCTTATAATTTAGATGAGTAGTTTTCAAACTTTCCCATGCATGTGGTTTCCTTGGGGAGCATGTTAAAAATCTAGGTATTTGGGCCCTCTCCTTCAAATTCTGATTCAGCAGATCTTAACTGGGCTCAGGAATCTGCATTTATAACAAGCATTCTGGGAGATTCTGATGCACATAGGCCTCCGACACACTCAGAGTAACCCCTTTCATCATGTCTTCCTCTCCCTCCCTACTACCAGGCTCCCTTTGTGGCAGGCCAAATGGACTACTGCGTGGATAATCCAGCTGTGTTCTTGCCAGTCTTGGTGGGTTTCAACCCAGTGAGCATGGCCAGGTGAGCCTGCTGTAATAAAAGGTGGTGATTCACCTGACCCCTGGGGGAGGCCAGGAGGAACATGTTCAAAGTCTACACAACCACAGAGGAGAGGGCACAGTAAACATGGTCTTGTTCACCAAATCTCAGAACATTAAAGTAAATATGGGGTGCCACTAAGCATATGAGGTTTTTTGGTTTGTTCTTTCATTTACTCATCCTCTCCTTGTTTCAGAAAGGATTGAAGGCAGCTTACTAAGGATACGTAAAATACCAAATAGCATACGTTCAAAACAGGGAGTTAAGAGGCAAGGAAGGTAAGGGCAGGAGGATAAAATGGGGCCAGGAATAACAAATACCATAAAGATCTGTTCTTTCATTTGGCGTGGGCCCCAAGCATTTTTACAAAGAAGGATTAGTGGGTACTGAGCGGCTCACTACTCCTCTCTGTCCAACTCCCTTATTTTAGTGCCCATTCTCCCTCTTCTTTCCAGGCACCTCTAATTCCCTCTGGCTATTCAAATCCCCCACGCTGTTCCCCTTCCCTGAGGTCCCTGAGCCACCAAATCACCTCCCTCTTACTCTTATTCCCTATCTAAATGGCCATTCTGTCTGATCTCAGAGAAGGTCAGTATATTAAACCAATAGTGCTCAGATGTGATTCTTTGGATGAGCTGCCTGGGGAGTGTTAAAAGAAACAAGGAAGAAAGCAGTTTCCTAGCTCCACATCTAAGAGGTCGGATTTAGTAAGTGTGGGGTAAGGCCCTGGGATATCTATTTTTTGGAAAGCACCCCTAGTGATTCTGACGCACAGCCAAGTTTGGGCCACCTGATGAAGCTGAGGGCTTCCTGTCACTGAGGTATTCCAGCAAAGGCTTGCTGATTACTCAGAAGGAGCTTTGTGTATTTACTGGTAATCTTGGGGTCAAGCTGGGTTCTTTCTGAGCTACTTTTTTTTAACCCCCAGATTCTAGATTTGTAGTGTAATTCATACAAAGGTGTAAATGAGTCTGAGATACTCTGAACCCTGATTTTTTTTAATGGAAGACTCTCCATCACCAAAAAGGATCTGCTGCAGTGGATGCTAATTTCAGGCACTGTGACTAAGTGAAATGAGGAATTTCAAACAATGTAGGCGTGGAGATCTTCCAGTTGTTCCTTAAATCAGTGGCTCCCAAAATTGGCTAATCTTCAGAGTCATCTGGGAAGCTTTTTAAAAATACAGATTGTTGGACTCCTCTCCAGAACTACTGAATTTGAATCTCATGGTGGAGGTGGTACCCAGAAATGGGTAGGTAGTGGGGGGGGGGGGAAGCTCCCCAGGTGGATTTGATCACCAGCCAAGTTTGGGAATCTTGGTTTTAAACCACAAAGTATGAATACTGTCTTCTCTTTGTTATAAAAGGCTTAGGTCTCTAGGAAGTTTCAGAAGTAGTTTGAGGACAAATTATAGGAAACACTTTACATAATGGGTATGAAATATTTGAAAATTGTTTGCCTTATATGTAACACAGGTGAAAAAATATTTAAAAAATAGGTGCAAAAAGGGACGGAACTTTGCAGGGATGGAGTGATAAGGGAAGTTAGGGATGCCATGTACAGACAATTCTTTGAGGTAGTCCCACAATGGGTGATTCACAAGTCATCCTCTAGCAAAGCTATTTGTGATCAACTACAGAAGATCCTCTTTCTTTGAGATTCCATGGCTTGTGCCTGTCTTAGTTACCTAGTGCTGCTGTAACAGAAATACCACAAGTGGGTGGCTTTAGAGAACAGACATTTATTTTCTCACAGTTCTGGAGGCTAAAAGTCCAAATCAGGGTCTCAGCTGTGTTGATTCCTTCTGTGGCTTCTCTCCTAGTTTTTGGTGTCTGCCAGCAATCTTTGGTGTTCTTTTGCTTGTAGACAGGTCCTCACAAGTTGTCTTTGTCTTCCTGCTGTGTGTCTCTGTGTCTGTTTGGCTCTTTTTATAACTCAGAAGTGATTAGGTTTAGGACAAACCCTACTCTGGTATGACCTCATTAACATAACAGAAGAAAGCACCACTGCCAGATAGGATCACATCCACAGGTACAGGAGCCCGGACTTCAGTACAGAATTGTGAGACACAGTTCAACCCATAACAGTACCTAAGCAGGTAACAAGCCTGTAGCTCTCTTGTCTCATTAATACATTGTTTTGTTCCTGATTAATTCACTCAAGGCATGTTTGCCAGCTGTTAAGTGCTACACTTCCTACCTTGCAGCTTGGTTCCCTTATTAAGGACTGTTAGCTCTCTCTCAGGTAGCGAGGGGTTCACTATTTGGGAGGATTTTCAGAATATAATTCCAGGAATGGGAAGGGCTTCTGATGGACCTTCAGACTGAAAATAAGTTGGCAACTTTTACATTCAGATGACAGACATTCCCCCAGGGGTCTGCAGAGGGTGTGGCTAGTGTGGCCCTGACAGTGGGACACAGGCGGGGATCAGGACACGAAAAAAGGTGCTGGTCTCAGGCTGGGTTTTAAACTTGAGCGCTTGACTTTGTTCTGGGCTTAATCTGCTGAACGTTTTATTAAACCTCCGTCCTTGCCGTTCAGGGACAAGTGCCCCTGTAAGCCCTATAAAGTTATTGACCTCAACACCGAACTCCAATCTGGTCTTTGATCCTGACCCTTAGCTGAGCTCCTTCCTTTAAGATTCTCACAGATAATCCCTCGCCTCTGTCTTTTTTTGGACCCCAGAAATGACCTCATTGAAGACTGGAGTTCAACATTCCTCCAAGTAGCAGAGCGCATGAAGAAGCTGCAAGAGAAACAGGAACCTTTTGTGCTCAATCCTGCAATCGGGGTAGGGTCTTTCTCCTCCTTTTCCCCTCTCTCCCCAACCCTAGTACCTTGAGATTACTTGCCACTTCCTTAGGGCCTCTAACTTTAGATTCTCTTACATCTTGTCGAAATTCTGAAGCATTGCATCAGCTAAAATGTTGTAAATCAAATTCGGTTTTCTCATTTACTTTTTCACCTTACGATGCTTTATCTTCATAACAACCGGCATCTCAAATCAGTAATCACTAAACCCTTAAATGCTCTAGGGTAGTTTCTGTTCGAAAGGGGATTTTTGTAGCTGTGTGTAGAAAGTATTGAATATAACGGTGAATTGCCTTATTTTGTCTTACAATATCTCTTCATATATGTCTAAATTTCAAATATGGGCTTTAAAAAATGGGATGCAGTTTCATTCTTCTGCCCTTTCTAACCCTCTCCAAAATTGGGTGGGCCTCCTTAGCCTCCAGTGCTCCATTCCTTTTTTTCTTCTCTGAATTGTGGATGAGTCTCACTAGCATAATGAGTCCTGGTGGCCCAGTAATTAAGAGCTTGGTGTGGTCTGCAGTTTGAGCCCACCCATGGCTTCTTCAAGAAAAGACCTGGCGATCTGCTCCCTTAAAGGTTTCAGCCTAGGAAACCCTATGGGGCAGTTCTCTGTGTCATGTACCGTCGCTATGAGTCGAAATGGTCTTGACGGCACACAACAACAATATAACTCACTAGCATCATCTACCCTTACTTTGGCCAAGGACCTTAGCAAAATCTCTGCCCATGCTTCCCTGCCAGGGATGGGCACATCCGTGGCATTGTCCTTGATCTTCCTTCTGTGAGCTCAGAACGCAGGAATTCCATAGTATACACCAGCTCCGTCTTTCATCTTCAGATGCTCGTCTCTCTTTCCTCCTCTCTGCAACTCTTGATCTGTAGTCTCCCTTTCTTAGTCACTACTTTTATCAGTCTCTCTGTGGAATCTCTTTTCTGTTTGGTGTGTTCTGTTACATATCTGTACCATTACAGTGGCTGTTTCATTCATCTGTCCAAAGCATGTGTTTGGACTGACAAACTACCATAAAAAATGATGGTGGAGAGAGTAGGCAGAAAGTTCTTGGAAAGAAACCCACTCTCTGAAAAACACTGTCCCCAGCTAACAGAAGACCCAATCACTGTGACTTTTTCCCACAGAGTCCTGAATGCACCATAGAAATGACCAGAGTTCCCCCAGACTCTCAATTAGCCCAGAACTAAAACTATTCCTGAAGCCAACTCTTCAGACAAAGATTAGACTGAACAATAAAATATAAAATAATACTCATGAAGAGTGTGCTTCTTAGTTCAAGTAGATACAAGAGACTAAATGGGCAGCTCTTGTCCAGAGGCAAGGATGAGAAGGCAGGAAGGGACAAGAGCTGGTTGAATGAACATGGGAAACCTGGGGTGGAAAGAGGGAGTGTGCTGTCACATTATAGGGATTGCAAGTAGTGTGACATAACAATATGTGTATATATTTTTGTATGAGAAATTAACTTGAGCTGTAAACTTTCACCTAAAGCACAATAAAAGAAAAAAAGAAATGACTAGAGGTAGCCCCTTTCCTTCCTCTTCTCTCAGCTAAGCCCTCACCCCAGCATTCCTCCTCACAGCATACTGGGGGCCACAGTACATGCCCAGTGGTCACTGACCAATGGCCTTTTCATCCTCCTTCCTCTCCTAATCCCTCCCTGGTGTCCGCACCACCTCAGCCCGAGGGCCTCAGTGGTTCCTCCGGATGAAAGGAAGAAGCGCCACCAAGATCCTGCTGGAAACTCTGTTACTGGCAGCCCACAAGACTGTGGACCGGGGCATTGCAGCATCTCAGAGGTATAGAGGATCTGAACAAGAATGAGATTAGAATCAGGCAGGGGCTGGAGGCAAGGGCCATACTGCATCCCATTCAGAGAAAGGGAGGGATGAAGTGGGTTGGGGCATGGAAGGTCGAGATCCAGAGACTGGGCTGGTGGTAGTAAGACGGAGGCTCGGCCACTTCTCCCCTGGAAAACGAACAGGCAGGTGAATGGTGCTGTTCCCAACACAGGGCTGGAGTCTGATTTGTTTCCAGTGGACCTGGATTCCTCAGGTCCCAGACCTAACCGCTGAGTCTGCCTAGGGCATCCAAAGCTAACCTAGTGTCTTGGTTACCTAGAGCTGCTGTAGCAGAAATACCACAAGGTGGATGGCTTTAACTAACAGAAAATTATTTTCTCACAGCTTAGGAGGCTAGAAGTCTGAATTCAGAGTGCTAGATCTAGGGGAAGGCTTTCTCTTTCTGTCAGCTCTGGAAGAAGGTCCTTGTCTTTTCAGCTTCTGTTTCCTGGTTCCTTGAAGATCTCCATGTGCTTGGCGTCAATCTTCCCCCATCTCTGCTTCCTAATTTGCTTGTTTAATCTCTTTTATATCTCAAAAGAGATTGATTTAAGACACACCCTACACTAATCCTGCCTCATTAAGATAAAAAAGACAACTCATTCCCAAATGGGATTATAACCAGAGGCATAGACATTAGCATTTACAACACATATTTTTGGGGGACACAATTCAATTCATAACACCTAACTTCTGAGAGTCCTTTGCTGTCAGGGTGGTCCAGATCTTGCAGGGAATAGCTCGTCCTGCTCTGGGCCTACTCCCCTCCCCAGGGTCTCTAGCCCTAGAGCTAAATTAGCTTACAGAGTGCCCATTTACCTCAACTCTCAGATCCTGAGATCTGAGATCCCATCTCCCTGGATCCCATCCTCTTCCCAGTGCCCCCTTGATGCCCTTGTCCCTCTCTGTGCTCTTTCATTTTCTGCCCACTGAAGCCCTTTTTGCCCCTCCTGAATGCAGTCTGGCCCCACTCTCTTGGCCTTCACTAGAGACCAGAAGAACTTAGTTTTAAGGGAACTGTGCCTCCTCACCTCCCTGAGGGGAGGTACTCAGGCTTTCTGAGGAGGCACTAGGCCCTCCCTGGGAGCTGGTGGCCTTTCTCCCAGATGTCTCCTGGAAATCTTGAGGACATTTGAGCGGGCTTATCAGGTGACCTACAGCCAAAGCTGCAAGATCGCAGCCGTGATGAAGCAAGCCAGCACCAGGTGTTTAGACCAGGGGGAACTTCCTGAGAACAGGGGAGACTTTCTGAGACATAGTAATGGGCAATGTGTCTTTCGTCTGCATGTTGGAGGGTCCTGGTAGGCATTTTTTTTTTTTTTTAAATCCCTGTGCATCTTTCTCTGATCTCTGACCTGCTTCCTCTGTGATCCTGCTTCTCATGTCCTGACTTCTGACCCATCCTCAGCCTGGAGAAGAAAGGCTGGGTGTGCCTGGTTGGCTGGCAGACCCTCGGCATCATTGCCATCATGGATGGAGTAGAGTGCATCCACACCTTTGGTGCTGGTAGGACCTCAGTCCAGTCTTTCTTCCTGATTCTACCTAATCCCAACCGATTGGTTGACTGTACAAACACTTCCCTACTCCCAACACGAGGGTTCCTCTTCAATGTCCCTCCTCTCCTATCCAAATGGGATTTCAGTCCAATGCATATTTGAACCCAAACTCAGTCCTTGATCCCTCAGCTCCCACCTCTGTGCTTGCTATGACGTCCCATGTGCATGGTGCCTCACCCTACTCCCCTCTTAACTTCACTGTATCCAGAAAAGACTAAGTTTTTCCTCCCAGCTCCATTGCACTCCCCTCAAGCCTAGAACCTTCCTTTCCTCCAAAACCCATCATTCTCTCCCTGTCCTTAAACTTCCCAGATTACCATGATATCCGTGGCTTTCTCATTGGTGATCACAGTGAAATGTTTAACCAGAAGGCTGAGCAGGTTGGAGGGGAACGGGACATGCGAAGTTGTGAAGGTCACTGGAGTGTAGAGTGTGGGAGAAAAGAGGAAGGTGCAGAGAGGTGGGGGAGTGCAATGGGATAGTCTAGAGAAGAGAATATGGGTTAGAGGTTGTGAGACTTTGGGGCAGCACATGGAGTGTGGAGAACACCAAAACCTGGCTCTGGTCCAAGGTTCTTGTATTGACTTACTGCACCATCTTGAGCAAAATACTTCCCCTCTTTGAACCTCAGTTTTATCATATGTAGATGAGAGGGCTATGTACAAGACGTCCTCTAAGATCCTCCTCAGTCTGTAAGTCTACGCACTGGGGTTTTTCATGGGAAGGATTCTTCATTTTCTTCTGTTCTAGGGTCCCCGGTTCTCCTTCTCCCAGGAGGACTTTCAGTCTTCTGTCCTGCCGTCCCTCACGGAGAATGACACTGTGATCTTCATTTTCACACTGGATGGTGAGAGGGAAGATGGAAGCGATGGACTGTGGGGATGGAGGCAGTGGGAGCTATCATTTTTCTGGGTCTTAGGACAGCTACTCAGAGAGAGGGACAGGGCCAGTGTCCTGACTGGATCCAAGGGGAACAGGAAGAACAGCTGAACAGCAAGCCTTTCAGCTCTGATGCCCTCCCCTTCTCTGCTAGACAACCTCACAGAGGTGCAGACACTGGTGAAGCAAGTAAAAGAGAAGACTGCCAACATCCAGGCCTTAGCACACAGTACTGTGGGGCAGTCCTTGCCGGTGAGGGTCCAGCCTTCAGGAGGAGACCATGGGATGACAGTTACAGCAAGGACTTCCTGGAGATGCCTCTCTTGTTCCTCTCTCTTTCTCTTCAGACCTCTCTGAAGAAGCTCTTTCTCTCCATCATCAGCATCACATGGCCACTGCTCTTCTTTGAATACGAAGGGAACTTCATCCAGGTATTGGGAATGGGAAGATCAAATCTGTAGTGAGGGACTATGAGGAGGGGGATTCTAGAAATTAGGAAATCAAGGCTGGAGGGTAGACCTCCACAAAGCCAGCTGAGCAAGTTCTTCATACACTGGGATGACCTCAGCTGACTGATTGATTACCTTACCTAAGATTACATCCATAGGTCTAAGGGGTAGAATTCCACTTCATATTTTGGGGGGACACAGTCCAATCCATAACACTCTCCAAAGAGGTTTATAAAACAACAAAGCATGAAACCGTTAGTTCCCCATGCCTTCATTAACATTGGGTAACATAGTTCTTTTTAATCTTTGCTAAACAGCAAGGCAAAAAACAAACAGAAAAGGAATTTTAGTGTTGTTTTAATTTATATTTCTTTAATTACTATGGAGGTTGACTACTTAAAGATATATATTGTCCGTTTGGTTTTTTTCCTTTCATGTACTGCTTCTTCACGTTTTTTGTCTATTCTTACTGTGGGTATTTACCTTTTTCTTACTGATTTGTAAGAGGGGGTATATATGGGAAGGCCAGTAGTTTTGTTTTTTTTTTTTTTATATCTCACTTCATCACAGTCACAGAGTGACGTTGTCGGATATTTGGTTTTCTGTCAGATTGTTTAGATTCAACAGGAAAACGTCATAGCTTAGATGTGAGTGTCATGCCAGTTCCTGGATGTCAAGGACTGCTTTTCTCTTTCTTGGTCTTTTGGTAAGGAAAGATAAAGTCAGGCCATAAAACATTAATCCATGATATCCAGATTTTGCATGTTACATGAATCTAAGATGTTACATCATTTGATGTGACAATGGCTATGAAGTAGCATTTTAGACTATAGACAGGATACATTGGCCAGCTGCAATTTACAGAAACAAAATAATTATTAGTCCTTATACAAGTGGTTAAGAGCTCAGTTGCTAACCAAAATGTCAGCAGTTCGAATCCACCAGGTGCTTCTTGGAAACCCTATGGACAGTTCTACTCTGTCTTATACAGTCACTATGAGTTGGAATTGATTCAATGGCAACAGGTTTAGTTTTTTTTTTGTAATAAGTCTTAAAGCCAGGAGATCTATATTATAAAACCTAAGCAATGAAAACATGTCTGAGAATCCAGCTGGGTCTGTTTTAGAGATCCAGCTGACTTTTTTTTCCCTTTTAGCCTAGCCACAGACTGTTCTACTTGTCCTGTAGTATTTGAATAGGTGCAGCAATAAGTATTTACTGTAACACAAACTCTCCTTTGGCTGGCAAAAAGGAAATGAAGGGCTATGTGATTGTCCATGGTAACTCTAGCTAGTGAATTTAGAATAGTTTCTTGAGCTTCCAGAGCAGAAGTTGTGCCATTTATGACTCCTGCTAGGGTCAGAGAAAACTTTTGGACTACCTTTTTCAGTTGTATTACATCTGCTGTGGGAACTGAAGCCCGCACAGTATGCATAAAGAAGGAGGCAGTTGTCCCTCCTGGGAGTTCTCCCAAGTAGCTTGCGCTCACCTGATTATAGAAATTTATAGGATTTTCCCCCTAGGAAAACATGGCGAGGTAGTGTCTTAGTTATCTAGTGCTGCCACAACAGAAATACCACAAGTGGATGGCTTTAACAAAGAGAAATTTATTCTCTTATAGTCTAGGGGCTAGAAGTCCGAATTCAGGGCACCAGCTCCAGGGGAAGGCTTTCTGTCTCTGTCGGTTCTGGGGGAAGGTCCTTGTCGTCAATCTTCCCCTGCTGTAGGATCTTCTCAGCACAGGGACCCTGGGTCCAAAGTACACACTTTGCTCTTGGCGCTAGTTTCTTGGTGGTATAAGTTCCCCCGTCTCTGTGCTCGCTTCTGTCTTTTATATCTCAAAAGAAATCAACTAAAGATACAACTTAACCTTGTATATTTAATCCTGCCTCATTAACACCGCTGCCTCTAATCCTGCCTTATTGGCATCATAGAGGTAGGGTTTGCAACACATAGGAAAATCACATCAGATGACAAAATGGTGGACAATAACACAGTACTGGGAATCATGGCCTAGCCAAGTTGACACACATTTTTGGGGGACGCAATTCAATCCATAACAGGTAGTAGTTTTAAAAATCCGAAAAATCTATCAATTATCCTGAACACACAGGCTAAGTTAGTGGCAAGTGAGTGTAAACCTGATGTCCACATAAGTAGTACCCTAGTTGAGTACAGGCTGTGTTGGGAGTATAAGTATCATTTAGCACACCAGGAATGAGATAAATTTTTGTCCCTTGAGGTAGGCAGTTTCCTTGAGTGGAGTTAAATTGCTCCTGCAAAGCAACTGGAGTGTCTTGGAATAGAACAAATATTAGTTCCCATTCCTAAGGGCTATTTATGTATTTTTGATGTAGAGAAGTTTTATTTACATTTTTACGTAGTCAAATCTATCAGTCTTTCTAGTTTTTGTCTTTTACTCAATGCTGATTATTCTCTTCCTAAATGTATTGAAATTGTTGAAATAAGGAGTCATCCACTGAGGCTTTTAAATCTTTCCTTGTAGAAATATTTGTGATATAAAACCCTCCCACATTTTTTTGAAAATTTCAAACCTGCAGAAAAATTGCAAGACTAGTACAAGGAGCACCCATAGGCTTTTCCCTAGCTTCATCAATCATTAGCATTTGTTTAATCTTCTTTTTTCTCCCTGAAGCATTTGAAAGATAATTGAAGATATCATGACACTAATTACTTCAGCATGTGTCTCCTAAGAACAGGGGCATTCTACATAACTACCGTATAATGGTCACACCAGGAAAATGAAAATTAATACAATACAATTATCTTATATACAGACCATATTCAAATTTCTTCAAATATTCTAATACTGTTTTTATTTTCCAGATCCAGAATCCATCAAGGATCATGCATTGCATTTAATCTAGAACAGTTCCTTAGCCATTTATTTATTTATTTTAGTCTTTTATAACATTGATATTTTAGAAGTCTAGGCCAGTTGTTTTCCAGAATGTGCCTCATTTTGGGTTTGCCTGTTTTTTCATTATATTCAGGTTACATTTTTCAGCAGGAGTACCATGAAGTTGTACCCTCAGTGTATCACATCAGAAAGCACTTGATATCAGTTTGTCCTTTATTATGGTGATGATGATGATGCTAAGTTTGATTATTTGGATAAGATGATGTCCATTAGATTTCTCCGTATCCTATTCTTTAGCAATCTTTCACCCAATGATTTTAGCATCCACTGATGATTCTTGGTTGAATCAATTATTACTATAACAAAAACAAAAAACCAAAACCAAACCTGTTGCCGTCAAGTCGATTCCAACTCATAGTGACCCTATAGGACGTGGTAGAACTGTCCCATAGAGTTTCCGAGGAGCTGCTGATGGATTTGAACTGCCGACCTTTTGGTTAACAGCCCAGCTCTTAACCACTATGCCACCAGGGCTACAAATTATTACTATAGTGGTTTCAGAATGGTGAGTTTCTATTTCTATCCTTCTTTCTACACTTATTAGTTGGCGTTCTTCTGTAAATAAGAAGAACTTTCCATTCTCTCCCCACTCCATCTACATTTGTTTGTTTAGTACCAGTATGGACTCATGAATTCTTTTTTTTAAATGAAAAATAAATCTATTCCGGTTATTATTCATTTTAAAGCTCAAAATGAGAGCTCCTTCAAGCCAGCCTCTGTGTCCTTTTGACATATCCACATCAGTATTTGAGCATTCTTTACTGTGCTTCTTTCTGCAAAAAGAAAAATATATATGGCATGTATTATATATGTATATATATGTATTATATATATAAACATTTCCCTGTCTTTTGTATGCAAAACGTAGCATTCTGTACCTTGCTTTTTCTCTTTTCCACCTTGTTTTTTCTTTTTACAAGATATCAAGAAAATCACTCCACTTCAGTTTACACATCTCTTCTTTATTACTTACATATGTATGTGTACATGTACAATAGTTTGCTCAGTCAATCTCCTAAGCAGGAAGCACCGAAAAGCTGGCTCACCTCTTTCCCTGTTCCAGCCCTGGAATCAGTCATTTTGCCAAGGTGTCTTGGTTCTTTTTTAGCAGGGACTGGTATTTAGAAACCTGGGTGTTAAGTATGCTCACTGCTGACGGTTTTTGTCCCTAAGCCTTTTCAGTAGAAAGAGCAAGATATATACAAATATAAACGGCTAAGCACTCGATACTATCCTAAAGGTTGGCAGTTCCAACCTATGCAGAGGTGCTTCGGGAAGACAGGCCTGGTGATCTGCTTCCAAAAGGTCATAGCCTTGAAAACCCTGTAGAGCACAGTTCTACTCTGCACCTGTGAGGTTGCCATGAGTTGGAATCGACTAGATGGCAGCTAACAACCACAAATATATAAATACACACACAAGCACAGTCATGTATACATATACACATATATGTGTATGTATGTATATTCTTCCTTTCCTTCCCCCATTACATATCAGTATCTCTCTTTTCCCTTAATGAAAATGTTGATTTCCAACATCATCAATGTATTTACTCATTTGCTAAGTCCTACGATACTTACCAAAACGGTTTTGGAACTGCTACCCCAATACCGCTGTAATCAACACATTTACCAAGAAAAATTCAAGATTTCTTTGCACTTCTTTTTGTCCTTTAACCATACCCCATTGGAGGTGTATAGTCAGAGTAAAGTGGACAAAAGTCACATGGATTAATTTTTATTTTTTAACTTCTATGGTTATGTTATCAATATAATATACAGTTAGGTTTATATGTACTTTTTGGTTTTCATTTTAGTATTTTTTTTTCAGTTTTAATTTAATTTCATCTTATATATATATATATAACATAACATGGTTTAAAAGCCACAACTATATAAAAGACTATAAAAAAGAGACATCTCATTCCCTTTCCTATTCCTTCTATACCATTTCCACCCATCCCTGTTTGGAACCAGCTTCATTAGTTATCCTTCTGGGATTTTTGGGCACATATAGTGTGTGTATATATACATGCATATATGTGTGTGTGTGTGTAAAATTTGCCCTTCTTATGCAAGAGGTAGCATACTATACTCTTTTGTACCTTAACAAGATACCCTGAAAATCACTCCACTTCAGTTTATAGAGCTCTTCCTCGTTATTTTTTACATTTGTGTGTGTGTGCACATGTACATGTACAATAGTTTACATGGGCCTTCTCCTATGAAGGGCATTTAGGCAATTAATATCCAATAGTGTTAGTCCCCCCTTCATTACTCTTTTTTTTAAAGAATTTTCCTAGCTATACTTGCTGGCTTATTTTTCCATATAAACTTTAAAATGCATGTGTCTAGCGCCAAATGATATAAACTTTAAAATACATTTGTGTCGATGACAGTTAATAGTATAAATGATTAATGATGTTACTCAGATTTAATGGTGCTCTCTCCCTCAGGGCAGTCTGACATGTAGTCTATAGCACCAGTACTGCGAACTAGCCAGCCATTCTGATTGGTCACATTTCTGCTCTTATGCTTAGTGTTCTTGCAATTTGCTTGTTAAATATTTTCAATACACCTCCTGCCAGGGGTTAGTATGACCAGTTATTACAAGAGTTCCAGAAAAAGAGGTAGAAGTAGCAGTAGGTTGTTTCCTTGGCCTGGCTAGGGTCAAATAATTAATACCTTCAACACCTTTACTGAACTCCTATTGCCCTTAAAGTGCCATAATAGATGTTATAGGTCCCATACAGTGGACAAGATACCAGGGCCAAGGACAAGTGGGAGTTACCATACTCACTGTACCATGAGTTTTAGTTATCGTGTTTTAGTTTTCAACATGCTTTCACATACATTATCTCATTCATTCAGGAGATGATTGTGGCAAAGTAGGAAATGCCCTCATCATAGAATCAGAACACCTGGATTTAGATCCTGATTCTGTACTTCATTACCATATGAGTTTAAACCCATTGCCTTCAAGTCAATTCTGACTCATAGCAATCTTACAGGACAGAGTGGAACTGCCCCACAGGGTTTCCAAGGCTGTAATCTTTATGGAAGCAGACTGCCACATCTTACTCCTGTGGAGAGGCTGGTGGGTTCCAACTGCCAACCTGTTGATTAGCAACCAAGCGCTTAACCACCGTGCCACCAGGGCTCCTTCCATGTGAGTTTAGCCAAGTTAATTTCCTTCTGTGCTCTAGTTTCCTCAGATGAAGAAATGGGGATAGAAAACCTATCCCACAAGGGTTATTATAAGGATTAAACTGAATTAGTTAATTTTTCAACAAAAATGTTCTGATCAACAACCATGTGTCAACCATTGTCAAAAGGACTAGGGCTCTGGATCAGAATAAGACACAATCTCTGCCCTTGAGCAGACTGTTGTTTAGTGGAAGGCATCCCAGGACTTCCACTCCTACCTTGTCTGGTACCCAGGGACCAAAAGGAAAATTTTGGCAGGAGCAAATTCCTACCATGAAAGGACTCAGAGAAAGCATCTGTCTACCACGGGTCAAAACTACAAACGTGTGAAACCACCAGTTCTGCCTGGTACAGTCCGGGTTTAGGATGACTGTCCCAACATTTAAACCCGGTGCTGGTCAAGGAAATTAAGACTGCATTTTGGCCCCAGTTTTTCAATTCCTAGATTCTAACTATAGGGTCATGTTCACCCTGCTGCTCTCAACTCCTCTACTTTCTGATATTTCCATGTCTGTCCTGTCTAGAAGTTCCAGCATGAGCTAAGTACCAAGTGGGTGCTGAATGCAGTGAGTACAGGGGCCCATGTGCTTCTCGGGAAGATCCTACAAAACCACATGCTGGACCTCCACATCAGCAACTCTAAGCTCTTCTGGCAGGCCCTGGCCATGCTGCAGGTAGGGACAGGGTGGGTGGGGCAGGCCGGGCCTCAAAGCTGAGGCTGCAGTAGGGGGGCATTCTGCAGAGGCACAAGAGATACTAGAGGTAAGAGCTGTGTTTTGTGCCTCTCCTCTCTCTCCTACCAGGCTCATCCACCCCTCTAAGGAAGTGAGTGTGTGTGAGTGTGTGTGTGCACACATGGATGCATATTCATAAACTATTGGAAAGATCCTTTCAGTTACAAGTATGTGACAGAAACCCAGTTCTGACTGGCTTAAGCTAAACAAGACAAATGATTGGCTCATGTAAATGAAAAGTTGGAGCGCAGCTAGGTTCAGCTACTCAAATGATGTGCTCTGGAACCTTCAGCCCTTAGCAACACTTTCCTGTTGAACTCATTCTCAGGCAGGTTTTCCTTGTTAGGTGGCTAATTGTTCACCAGCAATGCCAGTCTAACATCTTACCTATTTAGTGGAGCTTATCTGTCCCATGATTCTCTCAAATGCTGGGGCAGGGTTCTCATTGGTTTGGTTTGGGTAATGTGCCCACCTTTGAACCAATCACTGTTCTTCACAGTAAGGAGGCTCTCTACCCAGGCCTGATTCTGGTGCTCTCCCTTCAAGATAATTGGTGGGTAAAGTAGGGGAGGTGAACTTCAATCAAATCATATGGCCCAAGAATGGGGGAGCAATAGTTTCCCAGAGGAAAATCAAGGAGGAATGGATGTCGAATAGATAGCACAACAGATGGCCATGAAAGTAAGATTGCCAGAAAAAATACAGAACACCCAGTTAAAGTTGAATTTCAGATAAACAAGGAGTGATTTTTTAGTGTAAGTCTATCCTATGGAATATTTAGGACAGACTTATATTAATTTTTTTGTTGTTTATCTGAAATTCAAATTTAACTGGATATCCTGTACTTTTATTTGCTAAATCTGGCTACCCTACAGAAAGGAATCAGTCAATGAACATCTAGTGAGTGCCACCAGCCCCAAAACCAAACCTCTTAAGTGAGTAGACTCAACCAACCAACCCCCACCCCCTCAAAAAACAAACAAACATTCTTTACTGTTCTAGTTCCTGGTAGTGGGCTGAATAGGGGGGACAAGGATTTGTATAATCTAGTCCTTGCCATCCCAGAGTGGACAATCTAGGAGGAGAGACAAAACCAACACTTGAAACAGAGAACAATTAAGTGCCAAACTGTATAGTCCTTACCAAAGTTCAGTAGAAGTACAAAGAAGGTAGGATCAGTATGTGCTACAGCAAAAGAGAAGGCTTCATGGAAGTGATGATGTTTGGGCTAGGCCTGGTGGTCATAGTGGAGGACAGAGGGACATTCCTGAGAGAGCATTAGCCAAGGCCCAGAAGGGGAACTAGGCATGGCATGTAGGGGGCACATGTCTGACTAGAGTGGAGAGTCCTTTTACAGAGTAGTGGGGAACTGTGGGGGAACAGGAACTGTGGAAGGTTGGAAGCCAGACAGGAATTTAGACTTGCCAAATCTAGCTAGACCTGTGCTGTCTGAAACGCTGGTCACACTTGAAATGTGGCTGGTGTGACTGAGGAACTGAATTTTAATATTATTTAAAAACTAAAGCAGTGTACATTTTTTTTTTCTTCATTAAATGTGGTTTTGTTATGGTAGGACTACATTTCACGTTAACATTGCAAATTTAGCATCTCAATTGTGCTAGATTTCAAAGATAGCATGAAAATGTTGTAAAATACCTCGTTAATATTTTAAAATGTTATTTACATGTTGAAATGATATTTTGGATATATATTAGGTTAAATAAAATATACTATTAAAATTAATCTCACCTGTTTTTCCATTTTTACTTTCTATGAGAAAATTTAAAATGATATATATGGCTCGAATTATATTCCTATTGGACAGTGCTGAGCTACACAGAGGGGCAGGGTAGTGACAAAATGGAGGCGGTGCTTGCAAATGAACAGGCTTAACAGCAGTGTGCACGATGGATTTGGTTAGGGAGGAAACTAAACCAAAAAATTCATAGTGATCCTTTAGGTAGTAGAACTGCCCTGTGGGATTTCCAAGGAGGAGCTGGTGGATTCGAACTGCTGACCTTTTGGATAGCAGCTGAGCTCTTAACCACTGTGCCACCAGAGCTCCAGGGAGGAAACCTGAGGGAGTAAATTCAGTTTAAGATTACTATCCTGTGGTATTGGTAGGGCACAGTCAAAAATTTGATGAAGTTGCCATTAACCCTCCAGTTTAACCCGGCCAGTCAAGGTCCACCATCAACTCCTTTAACTCAGTTTTTCTTTACACCTGGGGATTGTGAGCTTGGGATCGCCTACGGGGGCAAATTCTCTACAGCCAGCTTTGGGATTCCAGCCTCTCATTCTCCTGGCTTTCTCCTCCCTTGGCTTGTTCTCATATCTCCTGGCCTTCTAGCCCAACACTTATCACTTCTTTTATAGCAGTTGTCTGGACAGCCCAAGGCTTGATGCATCAAGAGCCTCCTCCAAGCGATCCACTTCCCTCAGCCACTGTCGGATGATATTCGGGTTGCACCCATCTCCTCTCACATCCAGGTTGCACGTGAGAAGGAACAGGTATCCTGCCTAAATGAATAATTTCTTTTATAAGGATCAGCACATAGCTGGTTCTACGAGGTGGAGGTTAAAGATGTCCCGAATGTCCAGCTTTTCCAAACTGCCATACTATTCCATCAACTCTAACACCAACTACTTCCCGTCTTCTTGGTACTCTCTCTCCTGTCTTTGGATTCAGTAATTCACTGCAACATCTCACAGAACTCACGAACCATACTTACACTTAAGTGGTTTATTAGGGAAGTAACAGGTTACAATTCAGGATCAGGAACAACTCAGGATACAGTTCTTGGGTCAGGACAGCTTTTTGGCTGTGCCCACATGCAGGCCTCTCTCTGGCCCATATCCTCTCACCCCTCGGCCCCTCAGCCTGGCCTCTGCCCCACTCAGCCAAGTGTTACAAACCTCTTTAGCTTTGTTGATAAGTGCCCCGGGGTCACCCCACTCTGCCAGGAAGCCTCCTGCCCAAAGACGCTCAACTCTTTTGCTCTGTGGGTTGACATGCCCACTGTAGCCATCTTGCTACATGGGCTGGGAAGCCTACTGTGCCATCTTGCACCTGTCTCTTGGTGTTGCTGCCACTCTTTCTCTGCTGCTGCTTCTCGCTGTCTCATGCCATCTTGGGTGTTATAGCTCTCTCTCTCTCTCTCTCCTGGTTCTAGGAAGTTCTCAGCACAAGGAACCCTGGTCCAAAGGGTGCACTCTGCTCCCATCTCTTGTTCTTGGTGGTAGTGAGCTCTGCCCCCCTGCCCTGGAATTGGCTCTTTTTAAGCTTAGCAGGATAGCAAAACTGACCAATCCCCTTGTTAGGGTTCCATATAACTTATTTGCATGGTCCCACTCCCCTCAGGGTTCCATGCACCCTATTTGCATTGTTAGCAAGCTGTCCAGTCCCTTGGTGGGCCACATGTACCTTATTTGTATAATCCTACCCAATCACTATGTGGGAATAAGACCTTGCATGGCTGAAAATGCCATATTAAGTAATTCACTGCACCACACTGCCCGCATCAACAAACACTTATTGAGTATTTTCAATGTGCCAGGAACTTTGCTTGGCACTGGGTTTACAAAGCTCAGAGACACACTGCCCTGTTACAGGGAGTTACCATTCGGGGGGAGACATGGTTTGACGAGTACAGCCATGGAGGTGTGAATAAGGGTCTACAGGGGCACAGAGAAGGGGTCTTCAGTATGTCTGGGGGTGAAGTCAGGGAAGAGAAGGAGAAGAACTCTTTGATCTGGGTCTTAAAGGATGAATAGGAGTTTTCTGGGGCAGCATGAAGGCTTCTCTGTGCTCGTAACCCACCTCATTACCACTTTTTGGTCTTGATAAACTCCCTCCTATTCTTGTATCTCACCTGGTAGCTTCTGACTCCCACAGTGAAAGCTCTTCTCCTGGGATCTTCGTCAGATGACCTCACTTTCTCATGCTTCAGTTCTCCCTGCCTCTTTCCCACTGGTGATCCCCATAGCACTGCTGAGCCTCCTATTCCGGTGCTCAATCCCTGAGGCTCAGGCACACCTGGCCGCAGCTCCCTCTGTCTGTGAGGCTGTCAGGAGTGCCCTCACTGAGCCAGGTCAGAAACTCAGCACGGAACCCCTGGAGACCCTAGAGCCTGCGCTGCAGTGAACCTTCGCTTCTGGGCATGTGGAGGGGGCTTAGCCCAGCCCAGATCAGCTCATGGGGGCCTGGGGTGCCAGTAGTACACGTGATGGGAGAGAGAGACCCAGTCTCCAGGGACATCGGCAGCCTAGGGTGGGGAGGAAGATTCTCTCTTGCGCCTGATTCAGTGGTCTCTGCTTTCCCTGGCTTATTCTGATTTCAGAAATAAAATGAAACATCTTGTTTTGGAAAGTTACCATCCCAAACCAGGGTTACTAGATCAGTGGTAGGACAGCATGGGGTGGCATGAGGTGGCATGGGGTGGTCCCAACAGCAGGTTTGTTTCTTTGCTTCTTACACACCCACCCCACTGACCCAAACCTTCATGCTTGGCCCAACATCTCTATATCCCCCAACTCCAATACATAGGCACACCTGTGTGAGCTCACACATACACACCCCCACACAGACTCACACAAGCAAGAAGTGGGAGCTTAGATAATTATAGGGGGAGAGAGAAGAAGTGTGTCCTCAACATAGGGCTCCCTGAGAAAGGCAGCTCTGATTAGTCATGACAGGATCCTTATCACTAGAATGCTACATCCACACATTAGACCACAAAGTGAGGGTTGCACCTCCTGCCCCATATTTGTAAGAAGAAGATAAGGAACTCTGGGGTGCTGAACACCCTTTAGTAGTGGGACCCAACAAAGAATAGAAAACTCAAGTTTGTGCATTTTGGACCTCAGCTGTCACATGTTTTGACAAATCAAGGCACCTTCTCTCATCCCAGACCCATCAGCTTCTCAATGTTGGTGACATATAGCTCTGATAGTAGAGAGCTGGCTCCCCCTTGTGTTCAAGAAATATCCACAGAGTAAACCTCAAACCAAACCCATTGCCGTCAAGTTGATTCCGACTCATCCAAAAAACAATACAAAACAAAAAACCACGAGTTGATTCTGACTCATAGTGACCCTATAGGACAGAGCATAACTGCCCAAGGAGCAGGTGGTGGATTCAAAATGTCGACCTTTTGGTTAGCAGCCAAGCTCTTAACCACTGTGCCACCTGGATTCCATTCTGATTCATAGAGACCCTGTAATAGTCACCCAGAAAACTCCTCTGGGGACATAATGTCTCTTTAAGGAAACTCATTGGAACCTTTAGGCGGGAGGGTGATTGCTAAGGAACCAAACAGTTTTGTATTTTATAAGAATAATCAACCTTTTTAAGGCAGCCCTAAGGTCCCTCTGTATGTCCATGAGCTATATTTTCCTGTTCTACATCTTTACATTGCTGACCTAGATTTTTAACCAACTGCCTTTCCACACCCACCACCTACATAAATGCCTTCTGAATGTCATCCTTTGTCTTTCATCCTCTACAAACACCTCTTCCAAACTTCACAAGTCAAGATGGGTGAAGTTAGGAAAGGATCTTATAAAAGCTATCTGCTGGAGGGACCTCATACCATCAAGAAAGCAGTGCCGGGAGCAGAGCACGTCCTTTGGACCCGGGGTCCCTGTGCGGAGAAGCTCCTAGTCCAGGGGAACACTGATGAGAAGGCCGACAGAGAGAAAAAGCCTTCTCCTGGAACTGACGCCCTGAATTTGGACTTTTAGCCTCCTTTACTGTGAGGAAATAAATTTCTCTTTGTTAAAGCCATCCACTTGTGGTATTTCTGTTGTAGCAGCACTAGATGACTAAGACAGAATTTGATACCGAGAGAGTGGGGTGCTGCTCTAACAGATACCTAAAATGTGGAAGCGGTTTTAAAACTGTGAACGGATAGACGTGCGGCAGTGACAGAGGACCAGCAGCAGCAGAGAACCTACAGCAGCAGAACCAGGAGATCAGTGCAAGACAGCACTGGAGCCGACCCACCGAGCGAGAGAGCTGAGTGCCTGTGAGCAGGAGGCTTCCTGGCGGAGTGGGGTGCCTCCAGGCACTTATCGGTGGAGCTACCGAGCTTTGGAACACTTGCCCCAGCAGGGCAGATGCGGGCATGAGGTCTGAGGGCCAAGAGGCCACAGGAAACAGAAGCAGAAGCTGAAGTCTGAAGTGACAAGGGACACAAGAAGCTGAGCTGCCTCGGTCTCAAAAGGATCTAGTTGACAGCAAGGAAAAAGAACAGGAAATCACAACTTTGAGCTCTTCTGTCCCGGAGGCCCCAGAAGAACTGGAGATTGCAAAGGAGAACCTTCAGACCACAAATACAACAGAGAATAATAATTCCATCATGCGTTTCTTTAAAACTCTGTTTGTCTTGGCTCTTTCCGAGCTGGATTATTCACCGCTTCACGTCAGTCAACCAATGCTTATCCTGACCTAAGGAGCTGTGTCACGGCCATTCCAGATCAGTGTAATCCTTTGCCATGCAATGAAGATGGATATATGAGCTGTAGAGATGGCCAGGCTACATTTACTTGCATTTGTAAATCAGGTTGGCAAGGAGAGATGTGTGAATTTGATATAAATGAATGCAAAAATCCTGAAAACATTAATGGAGGGTGCAGCCAGATTTGTGATAATACACCCGGAAGTTACCACTGTTCCTGCAAAAGTGGTTTTGTTATGCTTTCAAATAAAAACTACTGTAAAGATGTGGATGAATGCTCTGTAAAGCCAGATATTTGTGGCTCAGCTGTGTGCAAGAACATCCCCAGAGACTCTGAATGTGAATGTCCTGAAGGCTACAGATACAGTCCCATACCCAAGTCTTGTGAAGATGTGGATGAATGTTATGAGAACATGTGTACTCAACTTTGTGTCAATTACCCTGGAGGTTACTCATGTTACTGTGATGGGAAGAAAGGATTTAAACTTGCCCAAGATCAGAAGAGCTGTGAGGCTGTTCCACTGTGCCTTCCCTTGAAACTTGACAAAAATTATGAATTACTGTACTTGGCAGAGCAGTTTGTAGGAGTCGTTTTATATTTAAGATTTCGCTTGCCAGAAATCACCAGATTTTCGGCTGAATTTGATTTCCGGACATATGATTCAGAAGACATTATACTGTATGCAGAATCTCTTGATCACTCAGCTTGGTTCCTGATTGCACTTCGTGATGGAAAGATTGAAATCCAATTTAAAAATGAGGAAACAACCAAAATCACCACTGGAGGCAATTAGAAGAATTAGAACATAGTGTTAATGTTAAAATAGCTAAAGAAGCCGTGATGAATATAAATAAACCCAGAAGCGTTTTTAAGCCTACAAATGGATTTCTGGAAACCAAAGTATACTTTGCAGGATTACCTCGGAAAGTGGAAAATGTACTCATTAGACTAATTAATCCTCGACTAGATGGATGTATACGAGGCTGGAACTTGATGAATCAAGGAGCTTCTGAAGTAAAGGAAATTATTCAAGAAAAACAAAATAAGCATTGCCTTGTCACTGTGGAGAAGGGTTCCTACTATCCTGGTTCTGGAGTTGCTCAATTTAGCATAAATTATAATAACATAGCCAATTCTGAGGTTTGGCATATAAACGGGACCTTGAATATCCACCCATCCACAGGCACTGGTGTTATATTTGCCTTGGTTTCTGGTGAAACAGTGCCTTTTGCCTTGTCCTTGGTGGACTCCACCTCTGGAAAATTTCAGGATTTCCAGGTGTCTGTTGAAAATATGGTAGTATGTCGGATACAGGCCATAAATTTGTGTTCCAGTCAACAATACCATCTGGAATTCAAAGTCAACAGACACAATCTGGAGCTGTGGAATCCATTTGAAAAAAATACTTTCTTCTCTGAAGACCTTCAAAGTCAACTTGCCATCTTGGACAAAGCAATGAAAGGAACAGTGTTCACTTATTTGGGTGGCATTCCAGATATTCCCTTCAGTGCTACACCTGTGAATGCCTTTTATAATGGTTGTCTGGAAGTGAATATCAATGGTGTTCAACTGGATCTGGATGAAGCCATTTTTAAACAGAATGATATTAGAGCTCACTCGTGTCCGTCAGTTTTGAAAAACACAGACAGTTCTTAAGGCATCTTTTCTCTACTGATATCTTTTTTCTGTGTATAATTTTACTTATGTTTCAATAACAGCTGAAAGATTAAAAAAAAAAAAGCTATCTGCTCCTCTTTACCCACAAACCACTCCAATGTTATCATTGGGTACATTCATCTTGCATCTTGGTATCATGAGCAAGGTCAAGTTAGAGAAGAGAGTCAGCTTTTTTGGGCCTGAGAAGAGCACTTCTTGTTTCTGTTGATGATGCCAACATATGCAGCTGACCTACCCCCACATGTGGATGGAATATGGTGCATGGTCAGATTTCCCCAAGGCTGGATACAGGAGGACTATAGAAACCCAGGTTCTTTCATTTGCCAAGTACTTAGACTGTACAAAGACATCAAACGAATTTAATTCTTATATAGTTGCACATGATATTCAGGTATTAGCAACATGATGGAGTACTGCTCAGCCTTGATGAACCTTAGGAGCTGGACACACTCTGGCTTTGTGGAGAAGACAGATGACTAAATATATTCCCTACCCTTTAGGAGCTCAGAAGCACACATGAACAATTCTAATACAAGACAAACAGAATTTAAGTGGGTTGGAGCAGCAGGCTAAGTACAGAAAGCTTCCAGAATTGTTTTGGGAGATTACTGGGTAGGTCAAGAATCAAGAAAAATTTTAAAAGAAAGGAGGTTGGGGTTGGGTGAGGGAACATCCAAAGGAAACCTCAGAGTGTTTGGAGACTTGAACTAGTGTGTGGGGCAATATCAGAGAGTCAGGTCATTGTCAATGGAATTTGTGCTCTAGGCAGAGCTAAAGAGGTTCAACTTTTTTAAAGAACTATCCAGAGACAAATGGTAGGGTGACAACCCTTACTGTTATTTAGAGAAAGCAAACAGGTAAGGGCTAGGGAATAATCTATTGTCAACACACAAGAGTAATTATGCTGAAATGACTACAGGGACTGGCCCAGAAGACTGGGTTGGAAGATGAAGGAAACACTTTCCTGGTAAACCTATTTGCTGGATCAAAAGCAAGAGGTGAGGGGGC